TGAAAATTCCCAGTTACCTCTAGTTTGAAAAACCAGTTTGATGTGGGCCTATCGGATTTAACATTCATGAATCCAAGACGCCGTCAAATGGGAGCCATATCAAAGAAAAAATAAACTGCTTTGGAGTGTCGTGGTAAGACTCGTGGTGGTTGATCAAGGAACTCATAATCTCTCGGTGAAGATTAAAACCAGAAGACGATCCTCGAAGCACTCCAATTACTCACAATACTGTTTTGTTAGTTTGCTTTGCCAATAAATTGCAAGTTGTAGAATCGCTGGCTAGTCGCTCTCACTACTATGTCTATCTGAAAGGTAACATTGTGACAATCCCAGATGGTTACAATTAGCTTACGCAACAAATCTACGGACAAATTTCTTAATCCACAGGGGGAATGTAAGTAGGTACCTCCTGATGATCTTTTGCCTTCCATTGCGTCTTTCTTCTCTTGACAACTTCCGCAAAGGAACGGACCATCCCAAGGACGAAGCTTACGGCAATTAGATGATCCAGCATGGATCGAGACACCTTCTCCCGGTTTCACTTCTATTTGACACACAGCACACATGAACAACTTAAACATATTGCAAAGCGGGTACTTTGTGTCTAATCTGCAATTAACAGAAAAAATAAAAGTTGATGAAGATTAGCATTCCATATTTGTATATGATTAACCAACCATATATAGAGAGATACACACCTCTCTGAAAGCATAGCAGAACCTTCTTCAAACAGTTCTTCGACTACATCAGGTTCTGCATACTCTTTCTCAATATTAGGAGAGGAATCGGAAGTTTTTCTTTTGAACATGGACTTGAGCATTCCTTTCCCTTGCTTTTTTGGAGGCGGCAAGGAAGCAGCCGGTTTTTCTGATGGTAATATATCAACAACAATACAGGTTGTATCATCGCGAAGACCCTTTTTGCCCACAGCTTCCTGAATGAGTAATAAAACATCAAGGTACTACACAGAAAGGGATTATATGTACAAAATATAGCGAAAATAAAGCAGTTCATATACAATACTTTAACAATATGCTCCGCAGAAGCTTCAGGTGGTAAACCCCGACAACAATCAAGAGCTTCCTCTGCACTTATTGCATCCCACACACCATCACTTGAGATGATAAGTCGACCACCAGCTGAAGATAACTACATCACCAAAACAATATAGATAAAGGTTTCAGGATAAACACAATACTTAGAATGTCAGCTAGCGCCATAACCACCACCGAAGATAGTAAAGAGTTTTGAACCTTGACTTGCTTCACATAAGGGACTGGAACAATGTATTCGCCAACATCCAGATCACCAATGGATCTTGAGAGACACAGACCACCAGGCCAACATCTCAAAGGACCAATCTAAAACAATTCAGATTTAGTTGTTAGGACCCATGAATGTGACGGAAGAAAGAAGATTTATATGTGTTACATTCTGCAAAGCTATAATAAATTTGACAGCCAAAATATTCGCATCCAATGTCTTATCTCTGAATCCAATACTGCAAGCTCATCCTAGTCTAAGAAGCTAGTACTCTGTTATTTATTTAGTTTAGTTTACTAGATTCAAGAGCTTAAGATAAAAAAGAGAAATAATGCAGGGAGAAAAGAGTGTCAAGTATTATCTGAAGAAGTACCTCAGTACCACCACCGGTATTTAATCGACCAACTTCACCACCACTTGCAGTGACACGATCTCTCCTGTTAAAAAAGCCAAACATATTGTGATGCCAAATATACAATGAGAGTATCATCGGTTGGGCCAATAGAAGGAACAACGCTGACTTACTCTTCCCCGTTTATTTCAAGCCGATGATCAGCAGATAAATAATAAACCCCGCCCTCAGCAGGCTCAAGTATGCAACGAGAGTCACCTACTGATGCAACACTCACCACCCATCCTTCTACTATGACAAAAGTTACAGTCGTTCCAGACGTCCTTGCTGACATGTCAGGAAACAACAAAACATCAAACATAGCCTTTCACAGAATCATATCACAGAGTTTTTCATTGATAAGTCAAATATTTAGGTTACTCAATCATACAGAATTACTACCTCTTTCCTGGAAATCTTTATCAGTTTTAACGAATCCTGCAACCAAAGCCCTAGGAAGTGCTGCAACCCACTCATCTCTGTTAAGATCAGAGGGTATTGCAGCTAATACATTGTTCAGAAGATTCTCCTTAGTGTAGATAGCTGCTGCAGAACCATTGTGTCCATCAAAAAGCTGCAATATACAATTCAATATTAAACTAGGAACATCAATACCAAAGAATTAAATTGATTAAGGTAGCATGTCAAAACCAATCATTACACAAAATAGGCGTGTAGATGCAGACCAAAACAAACTGTGCAATCAGTAAAAAATGTTTGTGGGTATGCAGCAAATTGCAGGAACAATTTAGATCTCAAGACAAAACAAACGAAAGTTCACCATTCATTCTCATTCTCATAAACTGTGCAGAGTCACCTATAAACTGATGATGGAAGAGAAAAACCGAGTAGCAAGATGCAGAAAAAGGAGAGTAAAATAAATACCCCAAACACAGAGAAGGTAGTAACACCATCTCCCATGACTCTTTGGCACTCTGTTTTAACAAGCGTAAAATCCTCTCCTTTCTTGCTTTGGTTTGCCTGTCCATGTATAAGCTCAGGATTGTCTATCTTCTCATTTGCTGATTCACGCTTGAGTAAAACAGAGAGTGGAACTGTATGATGTTCTCCCTTAGTTGACATTGTTTCCCTTAGTTTAAACAAAAATCCGAAAACACCACCGAGACTTGAAACTTTCTCTAGTTCTCTATCAAATCTCCCATCATACAAAAACCTGAAGACAAAATGAGAAAATCCATTCAAGAATGAGAACCTCTCAATCTAATACTTGGTTTCCAAGTTAGTCAAATTCAAAGCAAAGCTCCAACATATACACCGAAAAATGACTGTAAATATTCCGATCCACATTGCGAGATCAATGGAAAAAAACACAAACGCAGAAACGATCTAACCGAGGAAAACATCAAATTAGATCTTC